GGTTCCAGGGGCCGAGGCGCCCGGCTCCTACTGGAAAGTTGACGGAGTTCCCACGGGGCCGCGGAGCACCGCGGTTCCTCCCCTGGCTTTACGAGCCTCAGGGGTCTCCAGTTGGGGAGATGTCCTGTCCCCGGGGTCGCACTTGAAGAAGTTCCCCCCACTTCTGCTGCGGGTGAAGGTTGTTCTCTTGGGGCGGAACGCTGAGGTCTAAACTCTGCGCGTGCGGGTGTCAGCGGCGGGGTGGGTGTCTGGCTCGGGCGGTGGCCGGGGCTCCGGGCACCTGCGGGTGCGGACGGTGCGGGGAGAGGACTTGGATCCGCAGGGGCTGCAGAAGGGAACCGCTCGCTGCCCCCTGCGGCCAAGTAGATCCCACTGCGTTGTGCGGCGAAACTTTGCCTTTGGGTTGGAAGTCATTTGTCTTTGAACAGTGAGGATTAAAAATAGGTGTTAATGCAAACAAGTTTGGGAAATTCGGAATTAGCATTCCCTCCTCCCCCTGTGAAAGTTTAACTATACTATAAAAGTCTTGCTAGGACCCTAAATAGGTTCCTGAGCTGTGAAGCCTCCTGTCATGATCCAGAAGAGAACCGTGTGTAGGATCGAATACAACATTGTTAACCTGCATTTTAGTTGACAGTTTTAGAATTTCAGTAACTCTGCCATTAGAAAGACCTGCTGTGATGTGTTGACAACAGTGTACATATTTTTAAAATAATATTGTCTGACATTTTTCAAGTTTGTAGCTCAGCGTGTTTCCCTTACGTCTTGTATCATCTATTATTGTATGAAAACGAGGTTCTCTAAAGCGGTAATTAGGTGTATATTACACAAGAGTACTTTCCCTTTAAGAATCCAGCTGTGTTGTTTTGGCAACTGCTAAGTAGTCTAGTTGTCAGTTTTAAAATCTATGTTACCTTGGCAGTGCTTGAACAGTCTGTGGAAAAGGTAAACAAAATAATGTTTTTTAAAACAATACTAAAATGACATTTCTTTTAATACGAATTTAGGAAATGAGGATAAGACAACTATTGTGACATTTCTATGTACATTTTGTCCTGCTTTTGTATATTTTTTGTATATTCTTTTTCTGTAAATGGCAACTTTTATATAGTAAATGCCAACTCAAATTAGGGTTTATAGTTAATGTAATGTTTATATGAAAGGAATGTTTACAGGAGCATATCTGTATGTCTTGTAAGAGTAAAATTAGTATTTGTTGTGGATTTGATTAGGATTTGTTGTGAGCTGGAATTACCTTAACTTTAATTCTCAGCGACTATTGTTGCACAAGTAAAGCCCTCTGAAGAGCTGAAACTGGCTGTTTGAGTATTTGTAGACTCTAGATTACTAATTCTGTTGGCAGAGTGCTTGCAAAGGTATTTATGTACTAAAGCAACCAATGCTTGTGAATAGTGACCTCTAAATGCAAGTATTTGCTTACCTGTTTCCTTCAGTTCATACTATTGTTACACATAGAATCATAGTCTTTTTCACCAAGTTAAAATGGCACTTAACTCTTCCTATCACTTTTTAAAATTAAATTATTGGAGGGCGATCAAGGGAAGGAATAGCCTTTTGAGGCTTAAAAAATTTGTAATGCCACCAGATTGAATTATTTCCTTGAGGATAATTTCCTTATAGAGTTTTTAATGTTTCCACAACAGGTGTATGTAACAAAGGTTTATTTAAAAAATGCAATTGGAAGTAATATTTTTAAAAATGTTGAGTTATTACACGTGGTGATTTGTGTGTTTTTTTTAATTACAGCTTTGTATTTGAACATGAAGTTTGATAGTGTAGCTAAATCTTAGTAGATTTGTGTTCTGAATGAGGAGGAAGCTAAAGGAAATTTGTTATTGGAAAGTAGCATGCTTGTCAAGTCAGTTTTGGAAAACCACCATTTTACCTTTCTTTTAGTCTGATAAGAGGAATTCATTGTAACATACTATGGTGATAATCATAGATTTTTCTGGAGGCTTTTAGATTTCAATACTCTGCCTTATCAGATCAAATCCCCATTAAAAAAAATTTTTTTTCAAAGATAAGCTCCCGGTTCATAGGAATCTTACAAAGTCCATTGTAAGCCTTTATATTAGTGAAGGGGCAGTGAGAATACTGCTTCCTGTATTGAAAATGATCACTATTGCCTTTTTTCTAAATCTCTAAATGTTCTTTCTTAGTAAATTGAGAAATGAAAGCCTTCTTAATGTTTAAATAATAAAGAAGAGCAAATAGGGAAATTTGTATCGGTTTTTCAGTTAGGTAATGTCAAGCAAGGATTTTTATTTGGGAGCTTTCGTAAAGGAAGGCTGGTTGATTTTTGTAGTCAGGTCTTGATTTAGATGCTAGCTTCACCACTGACAAAGTTATGAAATAACTGTAAAATGGGAAGGAGTCACATCATCTGTTTCATGGCATTAGAATTTAAATGAGGTGAGTGTAACTGTTCCTAACTCACTGCCCAAGACTTTATGTACAAAAATGTGTATTACCTGAGCTCTCTCCATCCTTTCTTGCTTTCACTTACTCCTTCTTAGGAAGACTAAGTAACTATATCCCGTATGAGTATGTTTTTAGTGTTTGTGATCAAAAGGATTTCATAGCACTAGAGGAGAATGCTCATGTATTTGTTTTAGATAAAATATCCCAATGTCAGTGTCTTAATTCATTTTTAGATTATACATAAAATGTTTAATTGACTGTTTCACTTTAGATTTTTGATCTGCAATTATAATTTGCTTCTAGCCTCTAAATCTCCCCTAATTAAAATAAATTAGAGTTGAATATAAATAGTTTTCCAGTTCATCAATGAATTATTTCTTTTATTTATGAGGTGTCTTCAAAATACAGTCTTTAACATTTGAAATTAGAAAAAAAACTTGTATAACTTATCTGAAATAGATATAATTAAAATAACTTTTGCTTAGTAGGTAACCTATAATTTTTTATACTTCATTTTATCTAGTCTGTCAAGCTAAATGACTTTATTTGTATATATACTTTGTGTACCATATAATAAATGGACCCTGTGTCCAGCTTATTAGAATTAAAGAGTTTCACTTCATGTGTTAATTAGTAAGTCTTAGGTATAACAATGGGATCTATGTTGGCACTAATTTAATAACATTAATAGGTATTTATCACATTTAGTATTTTAATTAATATTAAATGTCCTCATAATAACCTAAGGTGAAGTCACAAGCCGGTAAGTTAAAAAATTGAAGCCAGGCCTGTGGTGTACACCTTTAATCCCAGCACTCAGAGGCAGAAGCAGTTGGATCTTTGTGAGATGGCCAGCCTGGTCCACATAGTGAATTCCAGGCCAGTTGGGGCAACAGGGAGACTCTGTCTCACCCCCCCCCCCCAAAAAAAAAGTATGTAAGTGGAATGCCATATTTCTAACAAATGGGCAAATATCAAGCCCAGGGCCTTTCAGGCAAATGCTCTATCCCTGAGCTATGTTCAGTTCTTCAGTTTCTATAGAGGAATATAAACTCTATGAATTAAATCTTTTCAGCAGTGAGTAGTGAGTTTATTTGATGTGAGCTAGTCCTTATCATCTGGTTATTTTTGTGACCAGCATGCACATGCAGTTTTATTTCGATTTTTTGAGGTATGATTTGTGACCCTTGGAACAAAGAACTACTTTCTATTTGACCTGGTAAGATATCTTAAAAACAAATACTGTATTTGCCTTACTTTTCATTCTCTCCCGGAAGTTAACCTACTACATAAGAGATTGGAATTTTAGTTCTAAATTCACATCTACATGTTAGTTCCTTTTAAAAAACAAGCAAATAAAATTTGAAGGCATATCAGTAGAGGGGCCATAATATAAGGTTAGAGATTGGCCTCTTAAAATTAGAATGTTAAGTGAAAATAACCACTGTACTTACAGTGTTCTTTGAGAAGTCCTGTCTTTTGAAGGCCATTGCATGGAATCCTGATCATAATGTCAGTTCCATAGAGTTGAGAGGATTCAGTGAGCTGTCTGTGTAAAGCACAATGACTGATAACATAGCAGGCAGTAAAATTCCTTCTACTATGACTATCTTTACTACTGTGACTGTTGCAATTGTATATGGCATTTGTGTCTTTCCAGGCTCATTGTCAGCCATTACCCTTTGGGTTCTATGCCTTAGCCAAGACCAGCTGTGTGGTCCTCCCTGAATAAGCCGTGAATTTGCAAGCTGGTGACTCTTTTTTATTTTTCTTGTTTAGAATTCTCTTGAGCTTGTTATCTACTTAGTTATTGAGAATCTCAAACATAATATTAACCATGTGGCTAGAATATAGCCTGTTTTTCCTTTCCTCCATCTTTTTTTCTTCCTTCCCAAACCTGTGCTTCTGCCGGCCTTCCCCATATACCTCAGTATATGATTGCATTGAAGCCAGAAATATGATATTCTTGATAGTTTGATTCCCAAATCTAGTTCATCCACAAGTCCTGTTGTCCTTCACAATTTATTTTGAGCCCATTGACTGCATTTAGTTTTTACTTCTTCATTATATCTTTTTATGTAATTTACTACAGTTGCCTCCTAAGTGTCTCTCCCCTCCTTTTGAGACAGGGCCTCATGTAGCCTAGGCTAGCCTTGAACACACTAAGTAGCAAAGGATGACCTTGACCTCCTGATTCTTTAACCTCAACTTCTGGGCTTACAGGCTTGCATTTT